AGCACCCCAGCCAATCCCCACTACTTGCCCTTCTGGTGAATCTAGTCAGCCTATCTACAGGTCTTTGTTTTAGAAGGGTCAGATGTTCCTCTTTTAGCAACAATCAGTTGTCAATATTCCTTTGGATAAGATTGGGGTCTGCTGTTCTTTTTTCCAGTTCTATGCTGGGTTACTGTCTGGGAGTCCCTTCGGCCACTCTAGCCAACAACACAAAAGAAGGTATCACTTCTCTGGCATTGTTGCTTGTTATGTAGCCTTTAGCTATACATATGGACTCTTATGAAATTATATTGGCCCCTTCAATCTTTGGTTATACTTTCCTTTTGGGTGTTTAAGGCCATACAGTTGGTCCAGATAAACCAATTTATTTTTACTCTTAAGGTCATTTGACGATCCATTCCTCAGGGGTCACATGGGCTTGGGAGGAGCCCTGGCTCCCGTCTTTTACCAGTTCCACCTATGTGAAGATAAGTCAAAGGTCCTGCTCCACCACGTTGGCTTTGCTTGGAAGCATGGAGTAAAAGATTCCTCTGTGTTGACCCTCCTCTTCATAGACTAGACACTGGTTCAAGTCTATCTGGTGGGGTCTCCTCAACCTCCTTGATCAAGACGACAAGTGACCCACCACCATTATAGGACATTTTGAGAGATGCTCATAGACCCCTGGAACTAGTCAACCTAGGAGGGCAAGGAGCAAAAAGTGTCCTTTACGTCCCTCTAGCCAAATTATTATAGGCCTCAAAGTATGTATGTTAAACACCCAAGAAGGTTAGTTCCACCAGTCTGGTATTTTTAATTACTGTGTGTCATGTAGATAAATCTTGGGCAAAGACAAGTTGTTCTCAGATAAACCTTACCTAGACATATATTTCTTGACCTGCTATGTATAATTTGTCAGTAGGTTGTAGGAGTAATATGGTTCCATCTGGTTTTCAAAACTAGCTAGGCATTGTTTATCTCTTATACTGTCTCACCCCTCCATCATGGTTTTCCAACTTAAGGTGCCCCCATTTCCCCCCTTTCTCCCTTACTATACCCTTCTCCTATGATCCTACCTCTCTTGAGCTCCTTCTTTCCCATTATCCCCTAGGTTCCATGTATAACCTTCCCTCCAACCTCCCTTAAACTAACCCAGTTTTTATCCATATCTCCCTTATTAACGCCTGTTTCCTACTGTTCTTCTCTTTCAGGTTC